AGAGAATATCATGAAAGATTTGGCCACGAATTTGAAACCCACAAATGCGTGTGCAGAAGAGAGAAATATCCTTGGCATTTTGTCAAATGCCGGGTTACTCTACAGCAATGGGGAAACTCGAAGCACGAACGACCGCCGAGAGGACGGAAGATGCTGGCAGAAGAGGGAGGAGAAAATTCCTCCAATGCTTATCAGCAACTAAATGCTACGAGATGCAGAGCTCAAATCGGGAGAATTAAGTCATGTCGAAGGAATTTTTTCACAGCATGAAGGGCTACGAGGAAGAATAGGTGCAGGGCGCTTATCTTCTTGAAATTAATTTCAGATTTCTGTTTCTGCTTACAGATTTGACAAGCAAACTATGTACCTGGGTGTGTGTGTATCCCTAGAGATCACAGACCCCTATCACGCCTGTTGGGTGTAGGGCGTAAGCCTGATACGAAATGCATTCAATTCTTTCATGTAGATTTTAGAAGTCCTCCATTGTCATACACCCAGATAGAAATACAACAAAATCAATAAACATACCTCCCTCTCTCTACCTAGATTCAACCAGAGAGACCGCCTTTCGTATGTACATGTAGGCACAGATAACCTTCAATACCTGCATAACTCCCAGTCCTCATATATCATATGACCGCATAGCTAGAGCTGACGGTACTCATGCATCCGCTCACAAATTCTAGTTTAATCCAAATTGGACGGTTGAAAGCCGCAGGCACCCCAGGCAAAAAGCTTTGACGTCTTATGTCGTACTCACGATTTGTCGTAGATAAATATAAAATAATAGACCAAACCATCCATGGCTAGACGGGAGCATTTTCTTCCCACTGTAACTGATCCCTATCTCCTTTGGTGGTCGTAAATTTCCGTAGACAGGATAACGGCTTAGGGCACCTGACACGGCATTCAATCTCGGGACCCTATCTCAAATAGGCCATAAATGGATCATATATATTCTTGGTTACTGTCCTACACGCTTCCTATTTACAAGGTCATGCGGACGAATGGCCATGATGTAGGGAAAAGGCTTCTAGGCAACAAGACCCGTGGTCCCGCCGCAAGGACACACTCCAGCTCCATGTCGACAGCTTCTATCTATCCTTCCGCTCTAGATGTATTCGACCTTCAACTCCGTTGACTCCTTGGCGAAATACAGCTATGCTCAGAAAAGGACGTGAACTGAAATGACAAAGTTTTCCGACTTGCAGGTGCAGGTGGCGTGATTTCAGTCGGGGCTCGAACAACTTTCTGCGGTCGGCGCGGCGCCCTATATTCTTGCTGGTTACTATGGTGAGGTCTTCCTCATGCGACGCTTTCGAGTTGCCTGTTGGTCTTTGGGCCGCACCAACCGGAATCTCTCGATGGATACCTGTTGTTCCTCCCATAAGCTCCATGCGAGCCGATTCTACAGACCGCGCAGGTCCTGCATGCCGTCTTTTGCCACCACCTGCGAGCCTTCCCACCGTTGCAGCGAGAAATTTCACTCCGTTTGCAGTCCCGAGGCTGGTGCTTTCCTACACACTGCCTTTCCGTACGACGCCTGCGTGTGGCCCACTGCTTAGATTAGGCCCTGGGTGACCAGAGCTGCGTCGTGCAAAGCATCACGTTTAGGACGATGCCGTTCAGTACTGCCTCTCTCTCAAGGGCCTCTGTCGGAAGGCTAACAATGACAAAGCCCCCGATGTGACCACTCTTCTTTGCCCAGTGGTGCTCCTGCCCATGGTGAAGCCATGGTAATCGATTTGTTTAGAGGCCTGGGATCCTCACTTTTATTGCCGCAATCATTTCGTCGATTAACCTTTCGTTTTCTGCGTCTTTGCTTTCCATGGCATGTATCCCTAGAGGAACCCCATCAACTCCTCTGTGTGGATCCTCAACAGATCTACACAGTCGCGGGCTGATCAGATTTTGAATGCACGGCACATAGACAAACTGCTAATGCCTCATGGCCCCACAAGAGCAGATCTCACTGGAGTTGAGGGCAAACAGAGGATTGATGTACATAGGCGCATAGATATCCTACATTTAGAAGATATAGTATTGACGTATTAGTCTCTATCTCTACAAAAGATCCGTTACAGTTTAGGGCACGGCCCTCAGTATCCACTGGTAAATATCAAACAAACCAATTTTCAAATTTGCTATTCAGCTATGAAGTGATTTAGATAGCTTTAGCAGTCCTTCACACTCACAGACTCATTAGGGTCTTCGATTTAATTCTATTCTATGCGTCGTAGTTGGGAGCCACAAGACACCATGGGAGAGCCTTTCACTCTTACACCCGCCCTCCGCCATTTACAAGGCTCACAATGCGCGCTCAGGAGCCTCAAGTGGGAAGTCTTGCCTCGAAATTTTGCATTCCTCGGACTGAATCATGTTCAAAGCCACATCTCTTGGAGCTGCTGACTATACTTAAAGCTCGCTATGATTGCTGCTCATTCGCCTTACGGCGTATGCCCCTAGAATGTGTGATTTAGCCTTTTCCAGCAGTTGCACTGGCTGCAGCTTGAATGCACTATTTACCCTTACTCGCACTGCCGCCTTTGGAGTCGTTGGCGCGACGACTGAGGCGTACTTTGGCTGTTAGTAAAACACGACGTCATACAAATTGGGTGCCGTCACGAAGTCGGTGAATAGAGTCATATGACTGATATCTCGAAATACAGATATCGTTGTCTCTTCTCTCCTCTGATCCAAGCACCTCGCTAATGAGCAAAGTCAGATCCCAGTCAGGGTCCTAACGACAAGCTGAACACTATCAAGTTATCTATGCTGGACTTCATAGCATCAAATGGTTAGCGGTAAAAATCGTCTGACTGCATTATCTGTGCTGTCTCTCCCATGTTTTTCCTCCATATTAGAATATCTGTATGCCAAGACACTAACGCAACACCTTCCAAATCTAGCCCCCGCAGTATCATCAGCTCCTCTAAGAAACATGTACGAAAAGAAAGCGTAACAAACACCACAATTACATAGAACAATTCATAGCGCCCAATGATGATCCTTTTACCGACAATGGCTGCACCACTTGGCCAGTTGTTTTTGGAGGAGCCGCCTTGCGGGCTGGTTCTTCGAGACTCTTTTGTGTGACCTTTTAGGAATGGTTAATAATGCTAAAGATGTCGGGTCCCTTACTTTATTTGGGGAAGTTGGCTGCCTCAGGCTCCCAGAGCAGTCAACTATGGCTTCCCTTTCCCCGTTAGGGACTAGTTTAAACGTAAAGTAGAAAACAATTAGTCAACCATCCATCCATTTATCTCCAGGCGGAAAAGAAGAATCATCACCTTACACCAGTGTCGATGTAATTGCTCAATATTCTATATATATCTGGGGTAGCCAAGAAGAACCGCGTCCGAATCGAAGTTGAAAGTAAGCACAAGCATATATAAAGTCAAAGACTTCTCATCAATTTCGAACCTATCCGTCTCATTAGAGTCCTTCAACTTACTCATAACATAAACAAGCTTGCCTCAATGACCGATTAATTAGCCTCATCGATTCCAATCGGGAATTTGCTTTATCCAAAACCGGTCGTCTCCCACTATAAAGTTATGATGCAATGTTAACCCGCGAGGAGGAAACTAAGTCATATCATATAAAGCTCGGGTCTTGGTCTATGAGGAACCGTTTTTCTAACGGGCCTTCACATCTTGAAGGAGGCAGGCAGCTTGGACGTGGGGCGAGCGAGTGAAGAGGTCACAAATGTGCATGCTTTAACGCCCATTTTTCGAGTGTTTGCGGTTATGTGGTTCTTGTAGGCGCCGAGGTTACGATCTCAGATAATACCATCAACTCTCGGAAAATTGCTAACGATGGAAATTGTTCTGATGCGGCCCCTGGTCGTCATCCTACCAAGGTAGACTTTGGTTAGTCTGGATGCCTCTACCTCACTCGAGAAATGAGGGATTATGAGGCCATATCTCGCGCCGTGGCTATATACAAGATGGCAGGAGCATGTTAGGGTAGCTAAAGAGCTTTCCTGTTCTGCCCTTGGTGGATATTCGCGGTTTAGGGAAGAGTCAAATTCCTAGCACAAAAGTCTGGAGTGGTACTGATGTCAAACTAAGCGATCTCGGTACGTAGTCGTCGAGGATAGACTGGCCTTTCCCATCTCATGCTCCATATGCGCTAGGCTTGCGCCCATCACGAACAAAAATGTATACATCATGATACGCTTTAGACCCATTCACTAACTCATTAGGCCATTCAACAGCACTCCCCGCCCCGGGCATGTCGCGCCTAATTAATTGCGCAACATATGCACACTTCTCTCTCTTGTTCCAGGTCTCAGCTGCCTGTCTCCCTCAAGGTATATAGCCCTATTATAAGAAAGGTCCTACACAAGCCAAGGCCGGAACTTTACATCTCAAGACTCATTTTCCTCCTTTTGGCTATATGTAGCATTGTTATTTGGTAGAGAAAGAGGGCCAACAATTGGTGAGGCAAGCTCCATTACCCGATTGGAGCAGCTTCATGATCGGTCGAGGAGACGGGATTTTGTTTGGGTGAGAATAGTAGGACCCATAACGACGAGAAGTCGTCCGTAATAGAAATGCTTGTGTATGTTTCCGTCTTCAATTCGGTCGCCATTTTTCTTGTCTTTCATAGAAAGGAAACTGACCATTTACTTCGGCGCCGCTGAAAGATGAAGTTTTAATCTTGCTTGGCCACCACTAGTACCCTCCGTAATTTGATGTAAACTTTTCTGCACGTTATCTTGGACAAATATATATTTTGACTCTTCACTCAAGTTGATTCCCACGGACGAGAGCTGATTATTATTTATCAATAAAAATATCTTATCGTGATATTGGCGTAATTGATTGATGGTAATACTGCCTTCAACGCCACAATTATTACTAGGCATGCACTCATGACAGTGATACTTTACCCCACCTGAGCTGTTCAGCACTCTCAAGATAAACAAAAGGCTCACCAGGGTCATGCATTAGCATCCTTACATCTAGTTTGTTATGCCTAGAGGCTAACACTATATGGTGTGTCTACCATCCAAGATAAACTTAATCAGTTCTCCCATCTACACGTATACTATGGCCTCTTCAATCAGTCCAGAGCCTATATCGGTTCTCTTTGTCTGCCTGGGAAACATCTGCAGATCGACCATGGCCGAGGGAGTTTTTAAATCCCTCGTTTCCCAGCTTTCCAACAAGAATTCCATTCGGGTAATCGACAGCTGCGGAACTGAAGGCTACCACGTTGGCTGTTCGCCTGACTCAAGAACGATGTCAACTCTGAGAAACAACGGAATTCTAGATTACCAGCATGCTGCGCGAAAGGTTTGTCCTGAATGCCTAGTCGATGTTACCAATAACATGAAGAGATAGAACTAACTTATGTGACAGATACGATCCTCCGATTTCGAAAAGTTTGACTACATCTTTGCCATGGATCGTTCTAATCTAGAAAACTTGCAGGCTTTACAGAAGAAGGCCGGTGGAAAGGCAAGGTTGATGCTCTTCGGAGAGTTTGCAGGCAAAGGTTCACCAGAAGAAATAATTGATCCCTATTATGGCGAGCTGGATGGTTTCGAAGAGGCATTTGAGCAGTGCATGCGATTCTCAAAAAAATTCCTATTTGAGACACTCGCGCACGATAAGGTTTAGATTGCAGTCATCGGACGAAGGATAACTACTGTATCAGGCCCAGCAGTCTACAAAGCACCATTTACTTTGAACCAAGTTAATTTCCTGCTCAAACTCATTCTTTGTCTGGCCCGTCACAACCTTACCTCAATTAATAGCCTTAGGAAATATGTCATTCCGGTGTCCCGCTATCTCCGCCGTCACGTTAAAATTTGCCGAAGTGATTAGTCATGTACCTAGGCATAACGATTATATGCCGTCTCACGCATAGTCCAAGGCGGTAGATCCGATCCCTTGATTCAAGGCGTTTCGACGCGCAATGAAACGCTACTTTATTCGTAGATCAACATTCAAAACCAATAGTTTTGATGTGTCTGTAACATTGCCAACGATGACATAAGACTTTTGACTCGAGTATTAGCGCAACTTCATCCCCTGTTCATGTCAATGTGTTTTGCCAAACATGCAGCGAATTATCAATGCCCGGTAGACCCGCGCTAGTGCTCGCGACCCCCGGCTTCTAGACTAGTCAATCGGAGGGTTACGGCCACTGCAGCGCACTCGACGAATTTTGCAGACAGATAGTGTTGTATCATAACCCCACCATCCTCCAGTCATCTTCTGCACTACAAAACCACTCGACAGCTACTTGGTGTACAACCAAGTCTTATTCAGTTCTCGATCGTCTCGGAATCCAAACACCAAACGCTCGATCCTCCCCAATTTCCCAAGCCACCACACAATCATAGCTCCTCACACTGTCTCGCAAATCTACCTCGGCACGTCGGGACCGCTAGATCTACGAACCCTTAGCCTACGCCACGCCGACTCGTCTCCTTGTAGCTCTCTTTCAAACTCCTTGTATTTTTGGGGTCGAGGGGCCATACTGGTACATACAACAGGGGTTCCTTCTATGTCTGACGGTTCATCATCACTGAACCCCTTTCGACGCCTGAAGGACGCGTCTCTCTTCCCAAGGTGGAGCCTCTCTGTTCCGGTATCCTGGGGGTTTGAGAGTCTGGCGCGGTGTAAATAGACATGGCTTACCACCATTTGGGTATGTCGCATGCTTCATAGCCCTTATTTCATCACTCTTTGAGCACGCCGTCGCGCGCATCAATTCTCTTCGACCCTTATCCTCTCTTTCTACTGCGCTTGCCCACCTCCACATCATTTCCACCATTCGCTCACTCATTTTTATCCCTAAAAGCTGTTGAGCAGCTACTCATTATTCCCTCGCTTCCACGCAAGACTCGTTTCAACTCTTCCATTACAAGTACAGTCATTACAAGCTGACGATAGCTCGCGATTTCAAATCGATTTCTAGCAGTGAACTAACCTCAAACGTGCCTGTATAGGACGCAACGAAGACTGGCAAGGCGACTACTATAACATGAATAACTATCCACCAGGAGCGCGCGTGTCAACACCAGGCCAACCTAGTCCTTATGCCGCGTCACCCGGCCCCGGAAGATTTGCTCCTAATGACCGACTTCAATCACAACCAACCGTGAGTCTAGAAATATTATATTCGGAGCTTGACTGACAAATCGGGAGTATTCGGTAGAGAATATTCAGAATAGTCATGGACATAATGATGAATACGAACAACACAATCCCATAAATGGCGATTATAACTACTACAACAATGCCTACCAGAACACCCCTCATGAAGATCCATACTTCTCTCACCAAGATGATCGTGTTCCTATCCTCCAAAACGACGCTGGTTACGGGCAGGATTATCCCGAGAATAAGGAGGCTCCCGGCACAACACCATCTCCTGGTCCAGCATTAAGAAGATACAAGACCGTAAAGGAAGTCCAACTATTTGATGGAAATCTCGTGCTAGACTGTCCGATCCCACCGAAACTTCTTAATCAAATACCCCATGCGCAACCACCCGAGAGAGACGAATTTACTCACATGAGGTATACAGCTGCCACCTGTGACCCGAGTGATTTTTATGCGGAGCGCTTTACTCTGAGACAGAAGCTATTCGCTAAACCTAGGCATACGGAGCTTTTTATTGTCGTTACTATGTACAATGAAGATGATATACTTTTTGCCCGGACTATGAGCGGAGTGTTTAAAAATATTGAGTATATGTGCTCACGCAAGGACAGCAAGACGTGGGGAAAAGATGCCTGGAAAAAGATTGTCGTCTGTGTGGTTAGCGATGGTCGCGCTAAAATAAACCCACGAACTCGAGCCGTTTTAGCAGGTCTTGGAGTGTACCAGGACGGAATAGCCAAGCAACAAGTGAACGGTAAGGATGTCACAGCACATATTTACGAGTACACAACTCAGGTTGGCATCTCGATAAAGAAAGACCTGGTAGAGTTGCGACCGAAACAGCAGCCCGTACAGATGTTGTTCTGCCTGAAAGAAAAGAATCAAAAGAAAATTAATTCACACAGATGGTTTTTTCAGGCTTTCGGAAAAGTATTAGACCCAAACATTTGTGTGCTGATTGATGCTGGAACAAAACCTGGCAAAAACTCAATCTACCACTTGTGGAAAGCATTTGACTTAGAACCCATGTGCGCTGGAGCTTGCGGAGAAATTAAAGCTATGTTGGGGCCGGGTGGAAAGAACCTTCTTAACCCCTTGGTTGCGACTCAAAATTTTGAATATAAGATAAGTAATATTCTGGATAAGCCTTTGGAGTCGGCGTTTGGTTTCATTTCGGTTCTACCCGGAGCATTTTCGGCATATCGCTACGTCGCACTACAAAACGATAAGGCTGGGAATGGTCCTCTGGAAAAATATTTTGCCGGAGAGAAAATGCACGGCGCCAACGCTGGTATTTTTACTGCAAATATGTACCTGGCTGAAGATCGGATTCTCTGTTTTGAGCTGGTCTCGAAGCGTAACTGCCACTGGATCCTCCAATATGTCAAGTCGGCTACCGGAGAAACCGATGTGCCAGATCAGATGGCTGAGTTGATTTTACAACGGCGTAGGTGGCTCAACGGAAGTTTCTTCGCTGCCGTCTATGCCCTTGCTCATTTCTACCAACTCTTTCGCAGTGATCACAGCTTTATCCGAAAGATAATGTTCTTGATTGAGTTCATATATACCACGATTAACATGATCTTTGCCTGGTTCGCCATCGGTAATTTTTACTTAGTATTCCATATTCTAACCACATCGCTCGGATCGCCTACTCTGCTCGGCACTCTCGGTGTTTTTCTAGGTGTTGTATTCGAATGGTTATACCTGTTTACGCTTCTCACCTGCTTTGTCCTGGCATTGGGAAACCGACCCCAGGGTTCAAATGTTGCCTACATTTCTATGGTTGTCTTCTGGGGAGTCCTTATGTGGTTAGTAATACTCCTAATGATGATGACTATGTGCTAAATTTTGCAGCTACTTGATGTTTGCCTCCGTCTTCATCACCGTCAAATCAATCCAGAGTGAATTAGCTGATGGCATATTTAACGTCGCTGAGATACTCAAGAACCAAGTCTTCTACACTCTTATAGTCTCACTCGCCTCCACATACGTACTCTGGTTTGTCGTCTCATTCCTCTTTTTTGATCCCTGGCATATGTTTACCTCATTTATCCAATATTTGATTCTCGTGCCTACCTACATCAACGTACTCAACGTCTACGCGTTTTGTAATACGCATGACATCACTTGGGGTACAAAGGGTGACGATAAAGCCGAGAAACTTCCCTCAGCCAATCTCAAGCCTGGTGGAAAGGTCGATGTCAACATCCCTACAGACGATGGCGACCTTAATGCGCAGTACGAGGCTGAGCTTAATCATATCTCACACAAGGCCCCTGAAGAAAAACGCGAAATCTCCATGAGCGAAAAACAAGATGACTACTACAGAGGCTTTCGTTCGCGCGTCGTGCTTTTTTGGATTATCTGCAATTTTGGCCTCGTCGCTGTAGTGCTCAGTACTGCAGGCCTATCACGTATTAGCGGAACCAAGGGTCCCATCGATAACCCGGCCAGCTCGCCTGTCGACCAACGGGCCACGATCTACATGGCAGTTGTTTTGTGGAGCGTTGCAGGTCTCAGCGCCTTCAAGTTTGTTGGAGCTATGTGGTTTCTCATAGTGCGTATGTTCCGTGGGGTATGAGGCTGACCGCATGTTGGACATCATGACGTCACGAATTACGTATGAGCTAGAATAAAAAACTTAGCTATCATTTTCTGAAACAAGAGGTGCAACGACCAATGAAATTGCCGGTAACAATTATTTCTAGGTCTTTAATAAAGTAGTATTGTGGAATGGAGCGTTTTAACTAATGTTTGCTCGTAAAACCTAACCCGCACTCCACATACTCGTTTAATCGTACATAGCGCACTCTGTTACAATGCTTAGCCCACAATTCTGCAGATCGCACAAGGAATTTATCTCTTTCTCGGCGAGTCTAATCAGAGAATCAGGTAGTTTTTCCTGTTGATAAGAATCAGATTTCTGTGTCTGGGGCGTGCTTAAAGTTTCCGGTCGGAAAGAAATTAGGACTGATGACGAGAATTCGTCAGTATCTTTCACATTGCTCCCTCTACTTCGGTGCCCAGTTTTTCGAGTTCGTGACGAAGAAACGCTCCGGCATTTATTAGCTCAGTGCTTCCATAAACAATCCTTCGACGACATGCACCCTTCTCAACTCCAGTGCTGCTTGTACTAGTTCGCTTAACCCATTCTTGAAGATTACCGTACTCGTCCATGCTACCCCCCCCAACCATGAAAACAATTGCTTCATTAAACCCTTGCCTCCGCTGTCCAAAACTTGCATTTTCACCACGTCCTAGGCCACCTGGCATTTGCTCCGCCTTCCAACTAGAATTCGCCGGAGGCATCGTTCCACGAGCTGTTGCGCTACGCGGATCGAAGTAAAGATAGTTTTCTGTCTTTGCTATAGCACTACTTGAGGCACCCGTCGGATCCATAATTGATTCTGTGATTTTTGTAACGGTTAAATCGCGGTTAGCCGGTAGAAAGTTTTTAACACCAGATATTAGATTTTCGAAATTCGCGCTCACCCCTGTTTCCTTCAAAGTAGTTGTAAGGCGCGAAGAAATAGATGAAAAGCCTCGGAATAAATCTGGTGCTGAGGAGTTTGAATTGTTTTGGGTTTGTGATGGTGCAGACGTCATCATTGTCATACGAGTCGTATTACGAACCCTGACTTTCCGGTTAAAAAAGATAGATACAAAAGGTATTACTTACTGCTTGATATAAGAGAGTGAGTTGGTTGAAGCACCGGCATTTTTAAGTGCCTCTTCAAATCTTCCTATATCTTGACGTGTGACTTCTTCCACCGTACTAAGGAACCAAATGATGAACAGTCGTAGTTTATCATTGGGATCATTACCTTTGGTAGCATCATTAATAACATCAAGGATATGTGTTTTGCTCTGTTTGATAATATTTTCTTCCATCTGGTAAAAATTGTCAAGTTGTCTATTCTTAATCCCAGTTAAAAGACCGGCAAGGATGTTCATATGACTGTCTAGAACCGCTTTACGCTCTCTTAATTCAGGTAGAAGGGTGATAGCTGCTTTGAGATGCTGTGCTGATGCCGTACTATCATTTTGAAGATCTTCTATCGAGCTTGCTCCCGATTTTCGAGTAACTTCGTTAGCTTCATCTTTGTATTTTATGAGCTCGGCATCAATATCTTCAGCAACCTGTGGAAAAGGCATGGCTGCATTTCTTGCCCAAAAAAAATCATTTGAAGAAACATCATAAGTTTTTTTCGATGAACCTTTTAGAGGATCACTCTCGTCAATAAGTGTCTCCATGGTAATTCGATTGAGCTTCATTTCGAGTATATCATGAACTAGTGATTGATATGTCCATGAGTGTGAGAGCATAGGTATTAGATCTACATTCCGGTCGAGAATTATTAACACGGGCCTTGAAGATAATAAACCAACTATATTCGATTTGTTGCTATTTGAGGCAAATAAATTGTCTTTGGCGTTAAGAATATGGTCCCTCAATTTTCTATCAAGACGTATTGATACTTGTTCAGCTGCTGCTCCTTTGGGACAACGAATTATGGGTATAACACCTAAATTTCTTTAGTGAAACCATTGTCCGGGTAGTCAATTCTCATACCCAATGTAACCATTACACTAAAAAGCCCACCAACTGTATTATCTATAACTTTGTTCAAAATATCGTCAGAAGTTTGGGCACTATTCAGTGCCCAATATGTATTCTGATTTTGCATCCCCAAGCTAAATAGATCTGGCTCTGAGACAATAAAGTTTAAATACTGATCAAAAAACTGTGCAATATTTTCGGAAGTCCTGGCCTCTGCTGTCTGTCTAGCAAAGTCTTCGAGAAGAGGTCGAGGTATTGAGGAAAGGAAATTTATGTGAGCCGGAGAATAGAGACCGCGGGAGAGGTCTGACGTGATGGTTCCAAGATTTTCTGGAGAGGGTTCCAAAAAATAAATAACTGGTACGTCAGGAATTGGATGCCGATTTGATGCTATGTTCCTGGAGCCGTTAGTAGCTGCCCACAGGTGCCGGTGGGCCTCGAGATATATACATGTGCATTGTGACTCCCCAAGCTCGTAAATCAGAAACCCTTAGAACACTACTGATAATGTCTCTTCCAAAGGCGTCAAACACTAGTACCTTCCATATTGGTTCTCCATTAGGATTTAGAATAGATGTCGTAGGTATTCCCGAAGTACCACCTGTAGGCTGATCAGGCGTTTTAGAGGTATCATCTAGTTCATGGTTAAAGTTTAACATGCGTACAATAGATTCTGTATTCATTAGTTTACTATCGCCTACACAGGTGGAAAAGGCCCTGACTGATTTGTCGATCCCTGAGGGAATTCTGGCCGGAAGCCATTGTTGCTCTAGTGCTAGATGGCTGAGGATCAGCCAACAACTCGGATGTAATTCATGCGATGATATCGAGCTTCTAAGTAGACGTGTGTGGAGTATGACAGATAAAGTAAGTGTACATTTGTGAAACACTCTGCACGCATCGGCACAGCTTGTCATTAGGCTCATCCGGATGTGGGGTTTCCGCTCTACGCCAGTTTTGCTGAAAAGGGCTTAGCATAAGTCGCAGGGGTTTGTAGAGCCGACTCATCATGTTTCTTTGCGCCCGCCAACAATCCCTCTTCTCTTCGCATCAACATCATCGACCCTCACCTCGATCATTATCAATCTCCCTTTCTATCCATCATGGCCAAGATTCTTGATACATGAAAATAATCCTACATATGTATTGAACAACGTGTGACCAAATTTGAGAAGGATAGGCCCAATTCTTCGAAGGGCTGCATTAGAACGAAGGGTACGGTAACACCTTGACATTTCATATGCCCTCCCAGAAGACGTCGGAAAGTCTTCATTCAGAATCCTTTCTTCTCCACTTCTCTCGAGTGGGTCAGGTGACATTATTGTTACTCGGACAGATAGGTGGGGAAAGCGTCTAGAAAACGCATTGCGATTAGAGTCGCCCATCCGTATTGAAAACTGTATCCATCGAGAGATTGCGAAGACCGAGACAGTGTGGGGATAATCCGCAGGGTGGAGATCATTTGCGCGCATCTGCAGCATTACATTTAATTGCAGCAGTATCTTGAGGTGAATGAGTTTCCGACTATAGTTGCATTCGTGTTTCGGATCTTCGATAGAATCGTCGAGTATCTTCACGGGGAAAAAAATACTCGTCCCGCCACTCACACCACCATACTGCAACTTTTTGCACCGGTCAGCGCACAAGTGCAAGCCCGTCCCAATAAACATCAAAGGACACCCCTTGGCCGCTGATTATTTGCAACCTAAGATCACATCCGGTAGTGCAGAGGGGTTGATAACAGATTTCTCGGTTAATCATCCAATCATTCATAAAAATACTAATAGGTACACACCCTCCAAGACAATCAGACCACATCCTCCCGTCTCCCTCTGACACATCACGTGAATTGTTTGACCTTTTACAATGGAAGGCCAGAATAATCACGGTCTTGTTTCGGTCGATTTGGCCTACGACGATGAACTTCTTCACTCCTCAGGGTGGTCAGCCCCGGGTGACCCACAGTATTCCTATCCTCGCCACGCGCAGAATCAGTATGCTGGATATACCGATCAGCTGCACTTGCCCCAACCAACCTATGAACACTTCAGCGTCAACCAGCAAGCTACATATTCAGGCCTTCCATACGATAATCAATCGTTTGGAACTCAGTTTCGTAGACAGCCAGACAATTTTGTGCCGACATATCCAGTCAATCCATCCCTTCAGAACTCCCAGGCCTACCAGGCTCAGCATCGGTCTTACTTTACGCCCCAAACCAACGAAAACGCTACTATTTCCCCTCAGACGCTACAGTATAACAATGGAGGTCAATCTCATGGAAGTATTAGCGCTGATCCGAATATGGGTTTCAAAAGGACTACAAACTGTACAACAGATAATTATACACAAAGATCACAAGATCCAAACATGTACTACAACAATTTAAGAAATGCACAGCTTTCTCAAAATAATGCTACTCATTTCTCTAACGTTAGTAAACCACTAGCACACGAAGAAAACTGTCAGATCAAGGATATTGATAGGAGTACTCCATCTATTTCAACTTTAGACGTTCAACATTCTCAGCCGACTATGAGCGAAGAGCCACCGAGCCAATTACGTATTACCAGGCCAGATTTGCAACAATCAACTAATATGTCGTCAAGACCTCGATTCGATTACGCTCCATATGTAGTTTGGGAAGATACACCCTTTAAGATAACGGTTGGCCTGAAAAGTTAGCCCGATCCTTCCTTTTTATCAACTATTCTGATCGATATTTTACTTTAGACACACTTCCAAAATATTATCCTCGTAGGACAAAAAGCGGAAGAGAACTAGTTCCTGGGTTTGATTTATCTAGTAAGTTAATTTATTCAAGCTATTACTAGCTTCGACCAAATTTTGGGATTTTGCTTAACACTAGTCTAGAATCACTTAACCCCGCTCAAGTTTCCGTCAAAAAGCGGGGAAGTGGACGTCTTTCGAGAGAACTAACGGCTTCAACAAATAGAATTAGGGGTACCAGTCTGAAACCGAAAATATTAACCAGCAAATCAAACATCTTACGCGAAGATTCCAACTCCAAGGCCCTGAATAATCAACCAGATTCGGGCTCTTCTGAAAGCGAAAGCAGTTCAGAATCAGAGTCAGAATATGACGAGGAAATTCGGACTGCTGATGTTAGCGAGGTACGCCATTTTATGATTAAAATATTATCCCAATATCTGCTTACTTTGGTGTTTCGGACTACTATTGTGTGTCTGATGGGGATTGAGTTATCTAACACAAACATAGATTCGCGGTAAAAGTCGCCCAATAGATGTTGCGCAAGCTGCTCGATGGGACACAATCGGTCTTATCTGGAAAGATCCAAATTCTAATCCAAACGCTAGTGCTATCAAGGATGCTATCGAAAAATATGCTAATTTTTTAATTGCGTTACGGCTTAAGATAAAAGCTAATTCCACACACCTCGAAAATTCAACGCGCCCGAGTGATATATCTAGGATTCAATCGGAACGCCAAATATTGCTGGAATCTCTTTTCCAGGCAATTTCAGCTGCCGTCGAACATGGCTACGACCCAATAGTAGAAAATTTAGGTGGTCATCATAAACTTGTCAATGGTTTAACTACAACCTTAATTGAGTGCATAAAATCTGATGACTTTAACGGAAAACTGCCCAAGGCTGTATTTTCATTGCTATCTAAGTTTAAGACTTTGACGGATGATTTATTGAAAAAGCTAAAGTTTGAAAGCATTCAGAAGCGTTGGACAAAGAAAGGTGATGAAGAGACAAAGAAAACGATAGCCTTCATACTTTCCAATACCGTAGACGCTCGAGCAAACAAGGCGAAAAAACTTCTTGAATTAAAAAAACTACGCAATAAAGTTGAACCAGCTAAAGCACGATCAATAGAGACATCAAACAGTGCCACATCTAGTCCAGTGAAACGTCCTCATGAAGTTGATGCAGCATCTACAAAGCCTAACAAGAAAGTGGTATCTGATATGGCCAATTCGGCAGCTATCGCAAAGTCTCTCATACCAAAACGTGGTACGAGTAATCTTCTAGGTATTTCAACCAAACCAGTCAAGCCATTACCACCTAAAAGACGTGATCCTTCACCCCCAAGTGAATCCAAGCTAGGAGCACTGCTAGCTAGCATCGCTAAGGATCCAGAGCCACCGAGGGCCCCGGAATTACCGATGAGAGCACCTGAGACCCCACAAGAAAAAGCTCGTCGTGAGAGAAAAGAAAGCAGGCGACATCTTCGAGTCAAATTTAAGGAAGGTTCAGAGCTTGAAGAGATTAGGCAGTTCACTCATGAGCAAGCCGAAGATGAAGGGCGTCGAGATGAAATGCTAAGAGACGCGCATGACTATCGTCTCGAAGGAATAATGCATAGAAAACGTGTCACTGAGGCGATTGATGATGATGACGACTACCAGCCGATTGATGCTGAACCTCTTTACCCTGAGCCCCGTCCTATCAATTTTGATTACTTAGAAAAGATCACACGCTTCGGAAAAACCTACTGTACCCGTGGCGGAGACTTGGACGTAAAAACAGATGAAGCTAAAAAACAAGAGAGGAGAGAAGGATTAGAATTGATGGTTGTGTACACAGATCCAGAAGATATTCCATTTTCGCCAAAAGAACCGATGTCACTCAGCAGTATCGAATATCCTCAACCAGAATCACAAATCAAAGAGCCAACAGAGCCTTGGCTAGTCAAGCGCCTCCAAGAGATCGAAAGATGTGGGCTAGAACAGACTTCAAAAATGCTCTTTTCTTCAAATACATACAAGCAAAATAACTCTCCGGAAATCTCCTCTGTTCTCCAAAAATTAGGCGAAACGAGTGCGCAGCCGATGACTCGAGCTTCAGAGCCTCCTATTGATCCATCAGCATATTCAAATTTGGTCTTCTTCGTCAAATATCTCAGTGGCAAACCATTCCCAGCTACCGAACCCCCTGAATGGATGTCGCCAGAATCCAAGGTTGGCTGGATAGAAGGATATAATAGAGACCTAGCTATCAAGAATAAATCTACGGGGCAAGACATTAATTTAAACTTACAGGCTCAAAAACTGACCAACGGTCTATCCATGGTGAACCCATCTTACCAGCATGGCTTCCAGGTCTCATCAACACCATTTCCAGCTATGATTTCTCAATCAGCCTACCCTATATCGCTCCCAGATGTCACACAACAGATGCAAAATTACCTAGCTAATTATCAGGCTAGAGACAAATATCCCGCCCCTTCCCAAGCTATAGACTATAATGCTTGGAATTCTCAAATTGCTAATTTCCAGAATGATCAACCATCAACATCACGGCAAGGCTATCCCCAACGCTGGGAGGTAGCTCGTGAACTAGAGGGTAGCAGAAGTAACCAACAAGAGAAGACAAATTCCAAAAAGAAAGAACATGACAACAAAGCTGGTCACGGCCCACCGTTTGAAGAAAAGGTTGAACACAAGAGCAAAAAGAAACGGCGCAGATTTTGGTCTGACGGAAAGCGTAACAAAGGACGCAAGGGCAATTCTCTTCATTCATGAGTAATATGACCTATAAAGCATGTGCGACGTCTGGTGGCCATGTCTCTGTATTTATCAAAGAAATTATTGCCATCGCTAGACTTTTGCCCTTATATGAAGATAGTCCAGGTTTATCTTGCTTTAGCCTGTGTTCTTGGAGTTAGGGAGGTGGAGGATTTGGAGATGATACCCCTGTAGAGCTTTTTGATTCATAAAAGCTCTGGCATATAGTGTCAACTAGACGTCTTGCTCAATGATCTTTTCATGGTCTATTTTTTTAGTAACCAAAGTCTAAGATTTCATTTTCTAAAAGCTATTTCGGTGTCACTTTGCATCTAAAAAAATACCTAAGTCAGGAAAGCTAGACAAAATGTTGTGTTCAGCATATCTACTGCCCGCGATGTCTTCTCTATTATGGCGGTACAAACTTAAGAAGCGCACGGTACAACAAACTTTTCTTGAAAAGATTAAGCAATAATGGGACTGAAAGTTTATCATTTGGGCAACACTCATTGAGGTTAGTTCGCATCGATATCTAGATATAAAGTCCTTGGGGGTTTCCCAGAAGGATTTACATGAAAGCACTAAATCAGGTAATTCAATTTCTTGTATTTTACTTAGTTATATGATCTGCATTCAACTATCAAGCTTTGACACATGATAAGTGATATAGGCTTACTGCCTTGGTTTGGTCAGAATCGGAGTTATCTGGATCCATTTACGATTATTTTTCGCGTTACTTAATTGGGTAGTCAAATTAGGAGTGACATACGTAAGGCTCAGCATATCCATAAACGCGTAATTCGTTTACTGTAGGAATACTCTCGCATACAGAACACGAATCTGCTTGGAGTGAACTTCCCCCTGAAACTAATCAGGAAGGAGCTTTGGATTAGTCATGAATTAGTCATAGGAGGAAGGGTGGTATTTTTCGTCTCATTCTTGAATCATTTAACGTGTATTCAGCTATCTAGCTATGACACATGACTGGTGCTATAAATACATGCTCGATGACTCTTTTGACGTTAGAGACACTCATATTCTGGATTTCATTTGCAAATACCACTATGAGGTATGCTTGCTTACACAAACAGTCGACCCTCCTCCGTTAGTACCCACCAAAGGGAATTTCGAAACCTTCGGTTATCCAAGCATGCCTTCGTCATCCATGTATATCAGCAACGCGAGAAATGTGGTTGTGTTTTGCCTGATTTGAACCAGCGATCTACTATCTCGAGTGGGATATGTGTCCAAGCTATCCAGACTCTACTTGGCAGACCGGCCAAGACGATGTACCACCGCACTATCCAACCATGGTGGTGTTTATAGTATCGCCTGCACTCTCGCAACCGAAGTATTGGCACGCACAAAGCTCAATTTGTAAAAACTACTAGCCAAAATTCCACTCCCGTCGAGATTGTATCCATCCTTCGCGTCATCTTGTTAACTTGTCCTGAATCCTTTCACGTCCATCCCAAAGAACTGTCTCCCAGATTTGTGCGCCACGCTTTGAGTCCTCCGTCGGGTATAAATATCGGCGTGGGCGTGTATTTGGTGACCAGCTGAGGCCAGAGAAAGTCGACGAGAGGTGTGATCATTGGAATAAGGATGTACTAGGTCGTACTTGTAGACTTAATGAGGCATTGGTAGGAATCAGACTCTTTGGGAATGAAAGAACAACGTGGTGGAGTTATTTGAATTATTGCCTCGTGGGCCAACTTGTTCGGTATTGCCAAATTTGACTGAACTTGGCTCGGGGAGAATATTTCACTCCCAGGTTCGTAGAGGGCACCATTGACAGGTGTTCAGTCTTGCCCTCCCACGATCAGATCAGATGGTAGGGTCGGAGCCCTACTCATCACCAACCCTTGATCATGAAGGAGAAGCCATCCAATGGGTTTCCGGAGCGTATCCAGCACCCGATACGCATGTGGTGGATTGAATCAGGTCGGTCTCGACTGTAACAAAAAAGGGAGATACAGATGGATGTGCGCACCTCAGATGGTCCTGGTGTCTAGGCCTCGCCTGGCTTGGGCTGCAGGTTTTTTGAGACTTTTTCCTGCGCATGCAGTTTCTATTGCTACCATTTTTATTTTTTTTGGGTAGAAGGTTCCGTGGAAAAGGTGGCCGAATTCTGTAGGTTACAACTGAGCTGGATGGCTATTCATTGAGGGGAATATATCAATGATCTTATATGTAACAAAAGAGGTCAGGAGCATTGTACATGGTGTGGTCTGGGTCAGAGAGGAGCCCTATGTGCTAGATAGACAGACTCACGTGCACAATTAATGCACACATACATACATACTCGGAACTAGTTAACTACAGAGAAGTACGGATAAACCTTTTTTTTTTTTTTAATTCATATTGTATTCAGCTATTTAGCTATGACAATTTACTCTACATTTATAGACCCCAAATTCCCATTTCCAAATAAACTCCTCTTATCTGTCCTACTGTCTTATTTCTATTAGATTTTGTCCTAATTAATCTCCTTTGTATAAAGATATACATCTTGAAGTTTTCAGATATTCAAGCAATGCTTGTTATCCCCTTTTTGTTCTGAAAATTATTGGTAACGTAAATGGTTCTATATTCTGAAAAGATTCTTTTCTTTCTTTTTTGAACATTTGACATTGAAGTATCAAGTGTTGCATTGTTTGTTTTTGCTTGTTTTTGCTTGGAGCAAAAGTTGCAGCTTTGGTCTTTGGTCTTTCCAATCTTAAATAAGTATGACCTGACATTTCCAACACCAGTCCTTGCTTGGAAATATGAGGACTCTACTAGTCTACTATATCCCTGAAAATTTATTGGTTTTGTTGTAAACCTTGGTGTAGTTAGTTGGGCTTGGATCCTGTAGAATTTACCCAAACCAGAGCTCTTTCTTCCTTCCTCCTCCTGAAAGAGCTCGGATGTCCAATCTTTAGCCCAGGCTTCCAGTACAAGCTCCTTTGCCCTTGTATTCAGCTATCTAGCTATGACATTTTGGTATATTTAACAGTATAATCAAAATCAAAAGCAAAACAAAAATTTAACAACACAAAAACCACTAACATCAGATTACATTTTGGATGCCATTTCTCATCCTATCAGACTTCTCTAACCATAACTATTGCTCATTTCTATTATTTTTTTGCCTTATATATCTCATTTTTATTTTGAAATACACTGAGAAGTTTTTAAAAATTTTAGTAAGGCTTCCCTTCCTCTATTGGTTCTGAGTATGATTGGTAATATTCTAGGCTCAATGCCAGCAAATGCAATGTCCCTTTCTCTTCGAAATTTGGTGCAGTGGAGAACTAGGTGCTTTGTTGTCTGCTTTCTGGAATGGCAGAAATTACACCAATGATCTTACGGATACACCTTGTCCCACCTAAATGACTGAACCACCCCAGACTTCACTTACATGTTGAATCATACCGAGCCCGACTCTCTAGAAACTCGCTATCTCTACGACGTACCGCAAATTCCTTCTCAGCCACGGCCACCACGCGCCCGAGCCCTTGACACCCTCATTGACTCCAAAATATAAATGTCGTCACAGATCTCATCGTTGCCCTAGTCCTGCACCTTCATATCTTACCGTTGGGTTGTTATTGTCATCATTGGGGAACTGAACTTCCGCGAAAAAGTGTGATACCTTCGACGTATGTTCCCTCTTTTTTCCTTTGTACACGCTCCGCTTCTATCATGACTATTCTCATTAGGCCGTGTGGAGGTTAGTGATGTGACCAGAAGGAGGGCAAGGCTGAACACCTGTACGCGGTGTCCTCTACGAACCTGGGAGTGAAATATTCTCCCAGAGCCAAGTTCAGTCAAATTTCGCAATACCGAACAAATTGGCCCACGAGGCAATGATTCAAACTACTCCACCACGTCAAATATTCACTCCCGAAGAGTTTGACTTCTACCTAAGTCTCATCAATTCTGCAAGTACGACCTAGTACACCCTTATCCCCATGACCACAACTCTCGTCGACTTTCTCTGACCTCAGCTGGTCACCAAATACACGCCCACGCCGATATTTACACCCGGCGGAGGAAGCAAAGCGTGGTGCACAAATCTGGGAGACAGTTCTCTAGGATGGATGTGAGAGAGATCAGGACAAGTCTACGAGATGATGCAAAGGAAGGATACAATCTCGAAGGACGTGAAATTCTGAATTTTGGCAAGGAGTTTTTCGAATTGGGCTTTGTGTGCGCCAAGACTTCGCTTGCAAGAGTACAGCTGACACCATGAAAACAAGCCAACGATGGAAGGTGTTGTGGTCCGCCTCCTGATGGTGTTCTCTGGTATGGTTTGAGTAGCCTGGGCACCTACTCCACTTGGGAAAGAGACACCTCAGATCACATATCGCGCGGGGAAAAGTTGATGGATGATGGAGGCATGTCTAGATAACCCAGGGTTTTTGAGATGTTCCCCTGGCTGGGTACTCACGGATGAGGGTTGTTTTTTGTTTGTTCATTAACGTGCTAGGTGAAGTAACTACCGTCGCACTCCTACTGGAGCTTGAGCACGAGTGGGGTCGGGCCGGATCAGGTTAACTACCGTGCAGTACAAGTGCCTCGTCCCACCTAAATGACCAGAACCATGCCAAAACGCATCTATGTGTTGAACCATGACGAATTCAGCAGCCCAGAATTGAAAACAAAACAAAAACTTTCCCGCGAAATCCCGCATTACAAAAGAAAAACTTCAACAATCTCCCTTCCATCGTTCCGCCTCAGCCACCACGCGCCTGAGCCTCGAATCCAATCTCTCTGTCCATGCCAAACCACCTAGGCCTTTGATCTATCACCTCCGAGTCACAAGTATTCCTGCCATCCCCCGACTAGCCTCCGGCTAGTCTCCGCGTATATTCCGCTCTCCTGCACGTAATTCCTGAACAGCTGCCATCCACTTGATCCGAGCAACATTTCCAGAGCTATTGCCCTTCGCCTTCCAATTTTTAACCACCAAGTTGCCAGTGCTTTTAGACACTGGACAAGGTGACCAATTGATTTTTCCCTCCCGCACTCGC